TGAGGACAGAGATGGGGAGCAGATCCTGGCAGCAAGCACTCCTTGCAGAACACCCCAAGATCAGGGCTTTGCACACCCTGCTTTTGTGGTGACACACGCTGTTGCCTCAGGGGCTGTGGTCCAGGGGGTGGCCACTGGCCCAGGCCCTGTGGCTACTCAGGATGGGGAGGGGGATTGGGGGGGGGAAGTCCTGTCCGTGCTGGGAGCTCTGCAGGGTGGGATCCTGCGCAGCGCCGGCACTGGTGTGTCTCTCTGGGGTCTGGAAGATGGGGTGCTGGTAGAGAGGCTTTGCTTGCTGCTTTTCTGGCTGCCCCTGCAATGGAACAGTGCGCTTAGCGATGCTAATGGCTCCGGCAGGGCTCAGGCAGGAGTTGGGTACCGGTTCTTGGCTGGGGGGTCTCACTGGGCCGCCACCAGTGGTCCGTCAGAGGAGATCCTCCTTCAGGACAGGCGACTGGCTGGGGGAGCCTCAGGCTGAGACCTCCAGACCAGGAAGAAGATGGGTGCTGTCAGAGCTGGGTTGAGTTGGAGGGAGCGGCCGACTGCTTCTTCCTCCTTAGTGGGTGGAGGACATAGCGTAGCCCCCTGGGTGCTGTGCCAGGTAGAGGAGAAGCTCTAGCACAGGGTGGGGACAGTGCCCTTCAAGGGTGTCCCAGGAAGTCTGCCCACTCTCCGGAGCGAGGAACTGATCTCCACGTGATGTCTAGACTCCAACGGCTGCATGGTGGCTCCGGCTGGGAGGTAAGCGAGGACCAGCATGTGTTTTGCTGCCCTTCTTCCGCCCCGAGGCATTCACTTCACTTCTCTTGTAGCCAAGCCGAAGAAGCACAATCCAGGAGGCTTCTAGCACAGCAAGAGCTACTGTCCCACCTCTGTCCCCGAGGACTGTGTTGCCTCCCATGCTGTCCTTGTCCCCTGAGATCAGGCCATCAGACAAACCCCAATGAATGCTGAAGGGCTGCAAGGTCCTGATAATGGCGCATTCCCATCCAGCTCTAAGAGGGTGGCTTTGGCTTAACAGCGCTGAGGGTGAACTCCAGTTGGGGGACCAGAAGAGGGGACACCCCAGGGGAAAGCAAGAGGTCAGTAGGAAGCCCAGTTAAAGCCTCAGGCTCTCCTTTTGCCCGCTGATGGCCCCTCGCAGGGTGAGAGGGCTGTTTCGTGACTCCTCGTAATCAGTCTCGGGGCAGCACAGGCGCTGCAATGCTTTTCTGGCCTCAGTTGGAGAAATAGGGGAGACGCAACTTCCTCAAGTGTTTAAAATCTGCAATCTCGGCCTCTCCAGCCAGTGTGTAAACATCCTTATCGGAGCTATGTTAATAAATTGCCCAGTTGTTTGGAGGGCTGCGCAGAGCATGTGACTGGTGACAGTGGGTCACAGCTGAGGGTTCCTGCCAGCTGGAGAGAGAAAATGCAGCTTTGCTGCTTGCGAGTGTGGAAAACAAGCACCTCTGGGACTGATTTTTTTTCCTGATTAAGGTGCTGTGAAGCAGTGATCCTTCTTCCACCAGCTCTGGAGTTGTCAGGCTAATTGGTTTGTGTTGTTTTGTTTTTTTAACCACAGTTGAATAGGCTGATGCTTAGACTCTAGGCAGAGGTGAGGTTTAAATGGCTGATCCTCAAGGGCTGGCAAACCACCCTTCCTAAGGCTCTGGGGGGAACATGCCAATCAAATGGCAGGTGAGTAGCTTGTAGGAAGACATTCCCAAAGAGCTAGCCCAGCTGGGAGCTGCAGGCAAGTCCAGTCAGGTGGCTGGACTGGGCCACGTTGTCCTGTGTTCAGACCTGATGTGTTCCCCCCACCCAGCTTCCCTGCATCCCCTGGGGATGCTGATGTCCACGGTGGCACTGCTGCTGAGAGCCGTCCACATCTCCAGAGCAGGGGTTTTCCTCTGCCAAATGGGGGTGGAAACAGGTTCTGAACATGGGCAAAGATTTCAGCTGTGGTGCTGCTCCCATCACCTGGACTGCTGAAGGAAGGGTTGGATGAATTGGCTGGGGCAGGGTATGGGCTCCCCACAGGGACCGTAGCTGTGTGTCCCTCCTTGTGCTCTCTGCTTCTGCTTTTTACTTGTAGTAACTTCCTTGTCTGGTGCTTGTTTGCTTGAGCTGCTCTGTCACCTGGTGATGTGAGGCTGCACCACCTGTCCTCGTCCCCGCAGGGTCCCTCCAGACCAACATCCTCCATGTCCCCCAGCTGTCCTGCTGCCAGCTGCCTGCAGCAGATGCTCTGACTTTCAGGGAAATACAACCCAGGCAGAGGAGCTCCCAGCTCCAGGCTTTGGGTCAGCGTTGGCAAGGCAGATGACTTCCATTTGGGCCTCCCACTATCACACCGAGTGTGTTTTGAAGCTGGCAGCTCTTGCAGCAGCATTACGCTGCATTGCTGTGGGTCTGGTGGGAGCAACCAGCTCCTGGAGCAGGCAAAGCAGTGGGCAGGAACAGGCTTCGAGAAGCCTGGAGTTTTAAACCACTGAGAGGCTCCTCAAAGTACTGAGGTGTCTTTTTTTCCTTCCTGTAGGTTGTCACCAGTATACAAACAGGAGCTGTGAGGAGTGTCTGAAAAATGTCACTGTAAGTAGCATCAATAAAACTTCCAACTTCTTGCAATGCCTGAAAATACAGGCTTTGTGGGGCTCTTAGGGAGCAGTTTCCCTCCTGGAAGGGGGGGCTGCTCCCCTGCCCTTGTCCTGAGCATGCTGCAAATGTCACCCACCCATGATGGTGAGAGGGCAGCCCCCCGCCCTTGGTGCTTTGGGAAGAGGTTGCTAGAACCTGCTTGGGTTTTGCTGTGTGCTTTTTGAGTCCAGTGTTGGAATTGTTGAGCTCCTCCTCATGGATGGGAGACACTGTCAGGGGGACGGGCACAGCAAAGGAGCTGAGTGGGCTGGACTGGCTGGCCAAGCTGCCCCTCCACCTGTCTGTGGGTGCCGTGGTGCTGGGTGGATGTGGGATATGTGTCCTGCCAGCCTCCTCCACCACTTTATCTCTGATATCAGCAAACTTGAACTTGAGTCAGATCTCATAACTGACTTAGCCAGAACCAGTTTGACCAAACCCAGCTGAACGCTGGTGTTGGGGGTTGGAGCCACCAGGAGAGATGGGCGCAGAGCTGCTGCAGGTAGTCTAGCTGGCAACGACTAGTGAGGGCACACGCAAACTTCTCCTGCTCATCAGCTCTGTGTTGAGTGGCTTATCTCGAAGGCTTTCTTCTTGTCCCAAAAATGCTGCATGTAATAAACATGAAGGATTTGGTTATGACGACCATCGACTAGTGGGGGCACACGCAAACTTCTGCTCATCAGCTCTGTGTTGAGTGGCTTATCTCGAAGGCTTTCTTCTTGTCCCAAAAATGCTGCATGTAATAAACATGAAGGATTTGGTTATGACGACCATCATGCAAGCCAGGAGAAGGGTTTTCAGCATCTTTACTCTCTCTAGAAATCTGCATTTCCCTCGCCTGCCTCTCCTGGTGCAGGCAAGAACACAGCTGTTGCTCTAGAGCATCCTGTTGCTGCTGGGTGGTACCTGGTTCTTGGGAGCCAGTGGCAGTGGCCCTGTTGTTGCGGCTAACAAAGCAGAGCACAGCTAACTGGCAGTACTGCCGTGCACCAGTAACGCTGTGCTGCCTGGTTCCTGTGTCCCAGTGCCTGTGGTGTGCCAGCAGCGGGAGATGCGTGGAGTACCCCATCCGAAGAGTCCTCCCACCGGCTGACCTCTGTGAGCTCCGCTCTGCGCGCTGGGGAGTCTGCTGGGGTAAGTGGACTGTGCTGGAGCAATGACTGCCTGTTGTGCTTGCTGCTAACTGGCACCGACTGCTGCTTGCACTGGTGGTAATGGGAGGTTTCCCTTGCCTCCTTTTCTCACTGCTGGTGTAGCAAGGGCAGGCTGAAGTCAACCAGGGTTCTGCAAACTTCCTGAAGCACGGTTGAGAAAATGGTGTGAGCAGTTCCCTGCCTTCTGGCAAGAAGGACCTTGGGGGGTTTTAGCTACTCTAAATATGTTCCTTGCGCTTTGGTGTGATGGAGGCTTCCAAACACGGCTAGGAACAAGAGTTGAAAGTGCTCTGCAGGCAGCTGCCCGTGCAACCCTTCCTGGTGCTCAAAGTGTGCACACCAGTGTCTGACTCTCCAGCAGCTCTGTGCTCTGCACCCTGTGCATTGTTCCTTGTGCTGCTTCTGGCTCTTTACCTCTTGCAGTGTGGCTGCTGTTCCAGGCAGGCTCTTAAAATTCATGGGGGGCTCTTGGAACCAGAAGTGAGATGATTTCTCTGGAGGCCTGCATGGTCTTCTAGTGCTGAGCAGGCAGTTGTCCTACTCAGCTCTGACCCACCTGAGAAAATGCCCTTTTCCAAAACTAGCCCCACAGAAGCTGTGCTGCAGCGGGGTGCCAGCAGCCACATCACCTCTGTGAGCTTTTTCTGGCCAACAGATGGCTGTTGGGCTGCCTTTCCTCCTTGGGACTCTGTTTCCTGGTGGGTTTCTGGAGAAATTAGTCTTGTTTAAACCAAGCTTGGGGCATGCTCATACTCAGACCAGGACCCAGCTTTTGGGGGGTTGGGGCACCTAGGAAGTAAGCTGGGGCTTGATTTCCCTCCCTCACCTGTGCCCTTGATGGGGAGCTTGAAGTTGACTTGTGGTCACTGGACATCTATTGTGCTTGAGGCTGGGCTCTCTTCTCTACCCACAAGAGAGTTAAAACTGCTCCCACTCTTGCGGAGGAAGAATCTCCTCTTTGTTAGCACTACAGTATGCTTTTCTGAAAGTTGTGTAAGACCTTGCAATACTAGTTTGTGAGCAGCTTCACACAAGGTTTCATTATAGAAGAACACATTCCTTAGCTTGCAAAACTCACTTTAGAGGAGATTAGTTCTGGGGGAGATTAGCTCTTACATGAGTTGGCATTTGTAATGTGTGTGACTTAAGCCTTTACCATCAGGTGGAGGAGTGCCTGGTGCTCTGCCACTGACCTCTCTCTGTGGGAAGGGAGCTGGAGGCTTTGCAAGTTCAGTGGTGGAGTTGGCTCAGCCTGGAGCACCCCAATAAGCCTGCTGCTGCTGTGTCCCTGAAGCGAGGGGATGGGCAGGCATCTTCTAAAACACCCTGAAATGCCCCACGTGTGGTGCTCAGGCTTTCTGCTGGGCTCATGGTCTGAGCTGCATGGAGAGGAGGGGATCAGAAGTGCTCTGAGCAGGCTCAAGTGCACCAGGATTTCTGTAACTTGTCTGCTGTGTGTGAAGTGGCTCCTAAACAAGTATTTCCACAGGCTCACGTCTCTGAACAGTCTGACTCATGCTTGGAAGAAACCCCTCTTTGTTGCAAAGGAGTTCAGGTGACGTCTAGATATGTCCGTGTTGGCTGCTGTCTCTACTGGTGGCACTGCAGGAGCCGAGGAGAACACTGGCTCTGTGGGGCCAGGGCTCAGGCTGCCTACCATGTCCCAGTGGGTCCTGTGCTGCGCAGACCCCCTGCGCCCTGGGGAGATGCAGTGCTGCTGTGTGTGAAGCAGCTTTCCGCCTTCAGCTGATTCAGCAGCACTGCTGGCCCCAGGCTGGTAAATCTCAATGGATTTAGACACCCAAAAGTGCCTCTCTGGATGTGTCTGTGAGATATCTGCCTTCAGCCCATCTCGGATGACTTCTGAGGCTGGCTCCTGTGGGCAGTAGCTCCTGTGGGCAGTAGCTCCAGTGCCAGCTGGGGCCCCTCCGTTGGAGATTCCTCCCCAGAACTGAAGCCTTCAGTTTTTGTCTTTTGGTGTTTTGTTGGTTTTTTTTTTCCCCCTTGATGAGTTACTGTTCACCTGGATTAGTGATTAAGACAGCTTTGTGCCTGTTTCTGCTGGAGGAGTTTGACCCGAGAGCGTTTGTTCTTGCCTTTCTTCCTAGTCAGTAATCGAGCACTCTAGTTAGCAGCTACATCTGCTCCATTGGTGTGTACGTGCTGGTGCCAGCACTCGGTGTACGTATAGATAACAATGTCCACCTTGCTTTCCCAGGCTGTTACACACATGACCAGTCCAGTGACTGAAGCTGCTGGTGACAGTAGCCATATGCTGGTAAATATTGTAACTCCAGGCAGCCACGGATGTCTCTGCTAAATGTGTTTTGTCACATCCTTTAGTGAACTTTGAAGCCCTGATCATTGCGATGTCTGTGGTGGGAGGAATGATCCTGATCATGTTGGGGGTCTGCTGCTGCTGCTGTTGTAAGAAAAAGAGCAAAAAGCAAGTATCAGAGGGGTTCCCTGTTTTCTCGGAGTAGCTCAGATGCAGCCACGTGCTGTTGCAGAAGCGAGTGCTGAGCACTGCTAACGGGCTCTTCTGTCTGTCAGGCCAGACAAGGATGATGAGAGAGCGGCCCGGGAGCGAGAGAAGAGACGGGTGCGGCAGGAGGAGAGGTGAGGCTGCAGAACGGTTTGTCATACCATCAGGCACGCTCCCAGGAGGCATGTGGGGCTTGACACGTGCAGCAGGCGTCTGCTTCAGCCTCAGCTCAAACATGAGCCTCATAAGCAGCGTCTTTCTGGGGTGACTCATGGATGCAGCATCACAGCAGTGTTGTGTATCTGACTCCCTGAGGGCTGCTGACGTGCTTGGGATCTGGGGGTCCCCTGTGCCTTTGGGAGGTGGGTAGCGGGGGCTAAGCAAACCTGGCAGCCTGGAGCTGCCTAGGTTGGGAAGAAGCAAGGAGATGTCTCTCCTCTTGCTTGGTTTTGTATCGTCAGTCACTGACTCGTGGTTTTTTTGTGTTTGCTTCTTGCAGGAGAGCAGAGATGAAATCACGGCATGATGAAATCCGAAGAAAATATGGTACAGTGCTGACACCAGTGATTCAAACTAAGCGTTAGATCTAGCAGCCTCAGAAACTGTTCCTTGCTATGGTTACAGCTGCAGAGGAGGCTTGGCCAGCAGGGAAAAGAGTCCCTGCTTCCCCTGTCTCAGTGAATTGCTCTCTTGCCCTCCTGGGAGCAAGAGTAGAGATGGATGCTCAGGTCATTGGCGTGAGGCCCCATGCAAATCCTGCTCCTCTTGGGCAGGGAATGGGGAGTGTTTATCCCTCCCTGGGACCCGTGTCCTCTAAATTTACCATGTAGGAGAAGCTGCTGGGGCTTGACAGGAGGGGAGGAGCAGAAGCTGATAGACACAGCACCAGCCATAATGCTGCTGCTCTTCAGGCATGGCCCTCCGGCAGCCCTGGGCTTAGCAAGGAGGTGGGGAGCCCTGGGGTGGGGGGCCAGGCAGGCGCCTGGGTGCCCTCAGCTGCAGGAGCACAGAGCAGGCACCAGCCTGACTGCAGAGCCGGTCCTCTGTGCCAGCAGTGCTTCCCTGGGAGGTGGCTTGGTCCAGGGAGTGCCCAGCAGGTCTCGTGGAAGGACTGCAGGACAGGAGGCTGGATGACAGAGTTGTTACCAAGAGCTAGGTTTCTTGCTGGCCATGACTGACAGCTGCTGTTTGAACAAATCTCTCTTCTCTTCTAGGCCTGTTCAAGGAAGAGAACCCTTATGCAAAATTTGAGAATTAGCACCTCTGGACCTACCCACCCCAGTGAACAGTGCCTTCCTGCAGAGCTGCAGGACTCAACGCTTCCCCCACCATGAGGAGACCACTGTGGTGCCACTTCCCACTTCAGCTGCCACAGAAGATGAGCCAAATGCTTGGTGACACCATTGTCCCCACTCCAGATCCTCAGTTTGCTCCAGAACTTTTCTCTTGCTCTGCTGGTGCAGGAAAATGTGGTGGCAATACTGGAGGATGACACATTTCTTCTCACTCCCCCCTGGGGTGGTAACGGAGTCCAAAGCAATGCAAATAACAGTCCTTGTCCCTGGCCAAGGGCAAAAGCAGCCTTATGCATCTTTCTTGCTCTTGCTTCACCAAATACCCTTTACGCACACAGAGCCAGGCTCTTGCCTCATCAAATAACCTTCACGCACACAGAGCCAGGCTCTTCTGTCTGCACCTTTCTTTTTCTCTTTTTTTCTTTTAGTATAGGCAAAAGCCAGCAAGAGTTTCTTGATTTGTTGGTCAGCAGGAGGCCTTGGCTGTTACTCCAGCTGGTACTTGTCCCAGGACATGAACATTCCTTTCAAAAAGCACAAGTTTCTGGTTATCTTGGGCCTCCTGGGGAAGGTCCCACACATGTTTTCATTTGCAACTAATCTGGGGAAATGCCCCACCTCTCCTACCTCTCAGTGCCTTTCTAGAAAGGTGGTCTCCTCGGCTTGGTGGCCATGGCCGATAGCAATACTGTAGGATTCAGATGCATTTACAGTATGTTGACTATATATTAAACCGATTTGATTATATCCTAGTCTGAAAGAGTTGAATTCCGCTTCCTCACCAGGTGTGGGTTGGCAGCGATGGCTGATGGAGTCGTCACTGTTATGTGGCCCTGGCTCATCAGGCCCTGATGGAATAGCTGAGGGAGGCAGAAGCAAGGTGGGCTTGAAAGGAGGAGCGTGTTCATGGAGATGTTCAGTTGTCAGGAAGAGCTGTGTGTTGGGAGTAATGCTGCTCTCTAAGAAAGGAGCTGGGTCTTTCTGTACGAGCTTGGCCTGTGTCCCCTAGCACCCCTGAGAGCCCTTGTCTAAGTGGGGTGGCCTGGGGGCTCCTGGCAGCAGTGGGCACAGCCTAAACCCCATGCTGTGCTACGTGCATAAGGGACCTGCGAAATGTGAGCTGAGTGCTCTTACCTGGTCCTATACTTGGCCAAAATTGGCTTTGAAGTATGAAGGAGCCTTACATGCAAGCAATACGTCTACTTTGATAGTTTTGTCTAAGAAAAGCTGCCTATTGCCTTCTGCTCTGGGCTGCAGACGGGAGCATTTCTGTGGGCTTGCAGAAAATGTTCCATTTGCATTGCCGGCCTTATGGCCCTTGGACACAAACTGCTCAAGCTTAACTGAAACTAAACCAGCTGTGAAACCTTGCTGCTGCTGCCTGAGCTGTGTGCTGGCTGCCAGAATCTGTCTGCTTTTGCCAGGATGGTCAGAGATGCAAGACTTGCAGGTGACTTTTAATCTAGGCAGGCTCTGGCTGCTGCCAGAAGATCCTCAGCTTCAGGTGATAGGAACAAAGTGAGTGACTCTGCCAGGGCTGAGTAAGCGCCTGGTCTGTAACCTGGGTTCCTGTTGGTGCAAACTAGGCTGCAGTGCTGGGAGGAGGGCTGAAAAAGTAGGGTTGGGTTGCCAAGCCCTCATGGGTGCTTTCCCAGCTTCTGTCCAGTCTGTTGGGGACTGGCTGGGCAGGGGCTACAGCCTGGTGCTGCCAGTCAAGAGCTGCAGGAGGTGGTGACAGCGTTGTGTGTGGCTGGGAGATGATGCTTTGAAGAAATCCACAATGCCCTCCATTTGGTTTGGAGCTCCTCTGCAAGCTGCCCTGTGCGCATGGAAAACAAAGCATGGGGCCCTGTAAGAAGTGAAAATGTTGGTAAAGATCCTGGTTGTGTGCTGTGCTTTACTGGGTACACTGGCTTGGAGGGGCCGTGGTCCCCCTGCCAACCAAAGATACAGGGGACCCCGTGCAAGCAAGAACAAGCAATGTATGGGGGCTGCTGGTGCTAAACCAAAAGCCATCAGAGCTGCCTTTATCCCTCCTGGGCTGCAGTGGGCTCCAGGTCCCATCCTACCCTGGGGACCAGGACCAGTATAATCCCTTTCGGCTACCTGAGCACTTCTACTGGCCCTGCTCCAAACCAGCTGGGATGGGGGACCTCTGCAAGCATGTTCCCTGGGCTGGGACCCCACTTGTTACAGGCTCTGCTGAACTGGGGCAGCAGAGGGACCTCTCCACCTGGGGAACTGGGTCCCTGCCTGGATGGAGCAGAACAGGGCCCTGGGGCCAAGCAGCGGGGACACCGTGCTGCCAGGGCAACACCCGTTACCACTGGGCAGAAGCGCTGCGTCCTCTGCTCACATCCTGGGCTCCAGCATCCCCTGGCTGCTGGCCAGAGCCTCTGAGGGTGGTGTGGTTTTGAACCCCTGGCTGGCAGCTAAATACCACAACACCCACTTTCCCACCCTCCCTGCTCCCGGGGATAGGAGAGAGAATTAAAGGGGTGAAGGGAAAAAAGACTCATGGGTTGAGGTAAGAACAATTTAATAACTAAACTACAATAACATTGAAAATAATAATAATAATAGTAACATATAAAATATATAAATGAGTGACACACAGTGATATTGCTCACTACCCCATGACCAAGGCTCAGCCCGCTCCCAGCTAACAATCCCAGAGCAGGGAGAGACCTGAAACTGCAATCCCAAAAAAGGAGATAGGAGCCTGAGTGAGAGACTGAGACAACCTTGAGAGAGGGAGACAACCTGGAGCAAGGACAGAGCCTCACCTCTCTCCTGGCCAGGCCGGGCATGGGATGGAACAGACCAGTGGCCGGTTTGGGTCTCAGTCCTAAACCTGAGGTTGAATCCTGGGCTGGTCACTGGGGCTGTGCTCCCTCCCAGCTCCTCCTGTCCCTGCAGACACGGGCACAGCAGAGAAGCTGGAAAGTCCTTGACCGTCCTGGCAGCAGCTCTGCCCATCAGTGTGTGATCAGCTTCTGCTCAGCACAAACCCAAACACAGCCTCTCACTATGAAGAGAGTCAACTCTGTCCCAGCTGAAACCAGGACAGATGGAGCTTCTGCTAACGTTTCTAATTACTCCTGTGAAGGTTGTTGTGTGCAGGTATCGTGTGGCTGATGTGCTGCAAAGCTGGGTTGGCTGGGCCATGACAAGGAGGTGAAGCTGGATCCTTGGGTGGCTGAGATGCCTGCCCAGGTCTGGGAAGGAACATGTCTGCACTGTAACTGGGAGCTGAGCCCGGTATCTAAAAAAACCCTTCATGAGGATTAATTTGTCCTTTGTGAGGCCACCTCGCTGGAAAGGCTGTGCCACTTGGGGCAGGGGGAGCAGATGGTGATGGGGACACCATGGCTGAGGGATGGGACAGTGTGCCTCATGACGGGCACTCAGAGGATGCATAAGGGAACTTGGAAGGAAGGGGTTAACAGGGTGTAACAGGGAGCTTGGCTTTGAGCCACAGGACAGCTGCACATACAGGGTGCTGTGATTGTGGGACAGCCCTGCACAAAAAGGCCAGACAAAGCTGGCACCGGGCCAATTCCCAGGGCAAGGCATGTAATAGGAAAGGTGAGACAAAGAGCCAACACCCTGAGGGAGATGAAATCCCTGGGTAGACTGAGCTGTGAGCATGGGCCTCCTGCCTGCAGGTGGAGGATGACCTACCATCACTGCAGCTGCTTCCATCCCTACACAGGGCTGTGGCCATGGCAGCAGCAGTGGCAGCAGCAGCAGCCAGGCCCCAGAGATTCCCGGTGCCTGAGATCCTCCACTGAGCTTGTAGAGCACAGCCCCACCATGCCCACCAGTGTGTCCAGAGCTTGTCCTGGTAGTGGGACAGCAATGGGTGCAGCTGGCTCTGCCACCCACTGGAGACCAGCAAAGATCCATCGTGGCTGTGGAGGGTCTGTGAGGAAGAGCCATGCTCAGGGGACCATCTGCACCGCCTCCCCAGGCCCTGCTCCTGAGTGGGGTGGCTGGGGCCCCTCTGAAATAAAAACACTGGGGATGCTAAGAGGGGCCACGCCTGATTTCTACCGTGCTGGTTAGCTCATCCCTGTGACGATACACCCCTGGAAGGTAGAGTCTCCCGGGACTCTTCCATGTAGATCCC